TGATGGAGGCCATTGTGTTCTTGGGGACCTTCAATGCTGCAGACATTTTCTGTGCCTCGACACTATCCTGTCTCGGAGCTCTACGGATAATTCCTTCGAGCTCATGGCTTGGTTTTTGCTTTGACATGCACTGGCAACTGTGGGATCTTATATAGACAGGTGTGTGCCTTTCCAAATCATGTCCAATTAATTGAATTTACCACAGGTGGACTCGAATCAAGTTGTAGAAACATCTCAAGGATGTTCAATGGAAACAGGATGCACCGGAGCTCAGTTTCAAGTCTCATAGCAAAGGGTCTGAATACTTACGTAAATAAGGTATTTCTGTTTATTTTTCTATACATTTCAAAAAAATGTCTAAACTTGTTTTCGCTTTGTCATTATGGGGTATTGTGTGTAGATTGATAAGGACACATTTTTATTCATATCCATTTTAGAATAAGGCTATAACGTAACAAAATGTGGGAAAAGTGAAGGGGTCTGAATACTTTCCGAATGCACTGTATGTGCGGTGGAGGATAATTTCACTCGCAAAAACGTTCCCTTTTTTCATTTTTCCTTTGGTGGAAAGAAATATGAACAGAGTGCTTTCCGAATGCACTGTATGTTCTCCTTCCCATTTACCAAAACAGATTTGACATATTTTCTCCCTTCCCCATTACCAAAACAGATTTGACATATTTCCTCCCTTCCCCATTACCAAGTCAGACTTGACATATTTCCTCCCTTCCCCATTACCAAGTCAGACTTGACATATTTCCTCCCTTCCCCATTACCAAGTCAGACTTGATATATTTCCTCCCTTCCCCATTACCAAGTCAGACTTGATATATTTCCTCCCTTCCCCATTACCAAGTCAGACTTGATATATTTCCTCCCTTCCCCATTACCAAGTCAGACTTGACATATTTCCTCCCTTCCCCATTACCAAGTCAGACTTGATATATTTCCTCCCTTCCCCATTACCAAGTCAGACTTGACATATTTCCTCCCTTCCCCATTACCAAGTCAGACTTGATATATTTCCTCCCTTCCCCATTACCAAGTCAGACTTGACATATTTCCTCCCTTCCCCATTACCAAGTCAGACTTGACATATTTCCTCCCTTCCCCATTACCAAGTCAGACTTGATATATTTCCTCCCTTCCCCATTACCAAGTCAGACTTGATATATTTTCCTCCCTTCCCCATTACCAAGTCAGACTTGATATATTTTCCTCCCTTCCCCATTACCAAGTCAGACTTGACATATTTCCTCCCTTCCCCATTACCAAGTCAGACTTGATATATTTTCCTCCCTTCCCCATTACCAAGTCAGACTTGACATATTTCCTCCCTTCCCCATTACCAAGTCAGACTTGACATATTTCCTCCCTTCCCCATTACCAAGTCAGACTTGACATATTTCTATCTGGGTTGAAGACAGATAAAGGGAATAACTTTAACACTGATGGCCAGAGAGGGAAACATTACTGTAAACACACACAGACCTTGGGTCCTCATGGTTATGCAGGCAGTGTTAGCCAGAGAAGGCCATCTCATAAGAACAGTGTGTTTTATTAACTAGTGATGGTTGTGGACTCAGACGGAGAGGTAGAGACTTGTCTCTGTGTACAGGAGACTTGAGGGAGCCAATTTAAGAGTTTATTGAATTGGTAAGATGTTAATCCTAGATGTATTGACATGACTAAGTGGAGCTACACGCACACGCACTACATATCTCTGTTCATATCATCTCATCTCTGTAATTGATTTTATGTCTGTGCGTATGCTTTGGCATTTAGATCCATATGAGGTTAGATGATTACATTTTCTTTTTAAAAGATATCTTAAATTAATCCTTGAAACCTAGAAGTCATTGAATTTGAGCCCAAACATAGGCAGGGTTAAGCCTGTCCAAGACCCAGGGTCCCAAATAGGCTAGTTTAGGGGCTAGTGCCCTGCAGTCTCAAGAATGCAAACACAGCCCTCATTCCTCTCCCCTAGCCCTTCTCACCCACAACTCCTCCACCCCAGTGGAATGCCGACGCCCCTCTTGCCCTCCTCTCGCCCCCAGGGCAGCACTCAGCCTCTAATGGATGTTTTCCCTGACACCTTGGTGTGACTGACGTCAGACAGGCCTCTCTCTCCAACTTCTCTCATAAACCTCCCTGTTCTTCATCCCACCACCCAGTAGATACACAGACAGAATCATCCCACCACCCAGTAAGATAGACAGACAGAATCATCCCACCACCCAGTAGATACACAGACAGAATCATCCCACCACCCAGTAGATACACAGACAGAATCATCCCACCACCCAGTAGATACACAGACAGAATCATCCCACCACCCAGTAGATACACAGACAGAATCATCCCACCACCCAGTAGATACACAGACAGAATCATCCCACCCCACACCAGTAGATACACAGACAGAATCATCCCACAATCACGAATCCACCACCAGTAGATACACAGACAGAATCATCCCACCACCCAGTAGATACACAGACAGAATCATCCCACCACCCAGTAGATACACAGACAGAATCATCCCACCACCCAGTAGATACACAGACAGAATCATCCCACCACCCAGTAGATACACAGACAGAATCATCCCACCACCCAGTAGATACACAGACGAATCATCCACCACCCAGTAGATACACAGACAGAATCATCCCACCACCCGTAGATACACAGACAGAATCATACCACCAGCACCTTATAGAGGTACAAGACAGAATCTCCCACCACCCAGTAGATACACCAGGACAGAGTCATCCCACCATTAGGAGTAGACAGACAGAAATTACTATCGGAATATCCTACCCAGTAGGTAGACAGACAGATATCCCACCCAGTGGTAGAGACTAGACAGAATATCCCACCAGGCCGTGTACACAGACATAATCTATCGCCACACATCCCAGGTAGTAGAAGACAGAATCATCCACACCAGGTGATGTACACGACGATAATCCCACCACCAGTAGATCCAGCACACATCCTCAAACCAGGTAGATAGCAGAAGGAACATCCCACCAGCCAGTGAGATAGACACCAGACGGAATCATCCACCACCCGGTAGATAGGACACGGGACAGGAATCATCCACACACCGATGTGCATAGACACGGACAGACATCGAGCCACCCTCCAGGTTAGCAGGGACGTACATCATCCTCCACCAAATGGATTAGCTGACAGACAGGAATCATCACCACCCATAGTGAATGACACGACAGAATCATCAGTCCACCAACCAGTAGATAGACACAGACAGAGATCATCACCACCGAGATAGGACACAGTAGACATCCCGAGCACCCGATGTGACGATCAGCGATACGACCATCCCAGGTGAGCGGATCCAGTCATGAGAGAATGCATCGCCCTAAGGACAGAAGGAAGAAGTAGTTAGCATGGGAGAGCCTCTGTGACACAAGAAAGAGCAGTCTCAGGTTGAATGACCAGTCTTGAAACCTGACTTGGTTTGGATCAAGAAGGTCATTCTGAGAGAGATAGCAGAGAGTGGCTAAAGACGGAATCATCCCACCACCCAGTAGATACACAGACAGAATCATCCCACCACCAGTAGATAGACAGACAGAATCATCCCACCACCCAGTAGATAGACAGACAGAATCATCCCACCACCCAGTAGATAGACACAGACAGAATCATCCCACCACCCAGTAGATACACAGACATAATCATCCCACCACCCAGTAGATAGACAGACAGAATCATCCCACCACCCCAGTAGATAGACACAGAAGCAGAATCATCCCACCACCAGTAGATACACAGACAGGAATCATCCCACCACCCAGTAGATAGACAGGACAGAATCATCCCCACCACCCAGTAGATAGACAGACAGAATCATCCCACCACCCAGTAGATAGACACAGACAGAATCATCCCACCACCCAGTAGATAGACACAGACAGAATCATCCCACCACCCAGTAGATAGACACAGACAGAATCATCCCACCACCCAGTAGATAGACACAGACAGAATCATCCCCACCACCCAGTAGATAGACACAGACAGAATCATCCCACCACCCAGTTAGATAGACACAGACAGAATCATCCAACCACCCAGTAGATAGACACAGACAGAATCATCCCACCACCCAGTAGATAGACACAGACAGAATCAACCCACCACCCAGGTGTTGCATTAGCTTTCAGAAATCTGAATTTTTAAAACAGACCATCCCCCATTTTGTTGTTGTTGCAAAATGATGATTGGCCATCATATTTCTAATGTTGATCATAGAAAGAATGTAGCCAGCTACATTTCCAAATATTTTGCTTGAAATTAAGCTTGCATTTACATTTTATACCGGAGAAAAACTACACAGAGGAAATTACCCGCTGGTGATCCAATGACAAGAGCAAATATACTTCATCCGAGTGGAGAAGTGCAACTAAAGCATGAAATGAGTCCTTTTACATCATGATTTGGGGAGCGAACCCTGACTGAAGCTGAGCAGCATTTACAATAACAAGCATTTTAGATTTGCGTTTACAAAACGCAGAAAGATAAAGAATCCTGAGTTAACGCGACCCATGCAGGCAGGCAGCCTGAGTTAACGCGACCCATGCAGGCAGGCAGCCTGAGTTAACGCGACCCATGCAGGCAGGCAGCCTGAGTTAACGCGACCCATGCAGGCAGGCAGCCTGAGTTAACGCGACCACATGCAGGCAGGCAGCCTGAGTTAACGCGACCCATGCAGGCAGGCAGCCTGAGTTAACGCGACCCATGCAGGCAGGCAGCCTGAGTTAACGCGACCCATGCAGGCAGGCAGCCTGAGTTAACGCGACCCATGCAGGCAGGCAGCCTGAGTTAACGCGACACATGCAGGCAGGCAGCCTGAGTTAACGCGACACATGCAGGCAGGCAGCCTGAGTTAACGCGACACATGCAGGCAGGCAGCCATACTCTCACACTGCTAGGGCTCTGAATGAATGCCCCGTCCCAAGAATCCAAACATGTCCAAGATCACGGACACACCGCACATGTCAATCATTCCCAGGGCCCTACCCCACACATGTCAGTCATTCCCAGGGCCCTACCCCACACATGTCAGTCATTCCCAGGGCCCTACCCCACACATGTCAGTCATTCCCAGGGCCCTACCCCACACATGTCAGTCATTCCCAGGGCCCTACCCCACACGTCAGTCATTCCCAGGGCCCTACCCCACACATGTCAATCATTCCCAGGGCCCTACCCCGCACATGTCAATCATTCCCAGGGCCCTACCCCACACATGTCAGTCATTCCCAGGGCCCTACCCCACACATGTCAGTCATTCCCAGGGCCCTACCCCACACGTCAGTCATTCTCAGGGCCCTACCCCACACATGTCAATCATTCTCAGGGCCCTACCCCACACATGTCAATCATTCTCAGGACCCTACCCCACACATGTCAGTCATTCTCAGGGCCCTACCCCGCGCATGTCAGTCATTCCCAGGGTGATGGTAGTATAAAGGACACTTGTGCCATCTTGCACTTTTGCATGAGCTGAATGTCCATGTCATGTATTACCACTAGGTAATGACTGTGTTTATGGAGTGTGTTCTCGGGATGTGTGAGGCTGGAAAAGAGGTCAGCACCTGGGCATGAAGGTGGGGGACTGTGGGTATAGGAGGAGTGGGCAGTAGTGGGCGGTTTACAGTGGAACAAGGCGGCGCAAGAATGGAGAGGAGATCTATGCTGGGATGTTTAGACTCTATGATATTATGGCAATATTATGGGGAGAAATTGTAATATTTAACTGTTCTTTCTTGGGATGGGATGTTTAGACTGTATGATGTTATGGTAATATTATGAGGCCAAATTGTAATATGGAACTGTTCTTTCCCCATCTGCTACAGTCATAGCAAACAGGGAATGTTCTTTCCTAACACATTGTTCCTTTCTCTTTCCCCTCCCTCTCTCTCTTGCTCTGTCTATCCACATCTTCCTTTCTCTTTCCCTCACTTCCTCTTTTCACAGATTCGCTACATTTCTCAGACGCAAGGTTTGCCCGGGGAGCATCTGTTGAATGTGGGGTCAAAGACGGCACGGTTCTTCTGCAGGGAGTCTGACTCCCCCTACGCAGCATGGCGATTGAAGGTAAGAAGGACCCCTGAGCCCAAAATACATCCCCAACAGAACCCCCCCCGAGCACCCTCTCTCAACCATTCCATACACCGACCCCCTCCTCTTTGCTCCTCTCCACCAAAACACACACTCCTCTTAGCCCAGCACTGAAACAAACCTTCGTATTATCTCTGACACCATCACCAAACATTCTCCCCTCCCTCTCAGCAAACAGTCACTACTCCCACCACACACCAGAGAGGAAAACCCCCACACAAGCATCCTCTCTTTTTCACTGCTTGAACAAACTCTTGAGATAAAGGCTGAAGGGATAAACCAAACCCTTCTTTCTCTCCCTCTCTCTCTCTCGCTCTCCCTCTCTCTCGCTCTCCCTCTCCCTCTCGCGCTCTCTCTCTCTCTCTCTCTCCCTCTCTCTCTCGCTCGCTCGCTCGCTCGCTCTCTCTCCCTCTCCCTCTCTCTCGCTCGCTCTCTCTCCCTTTCTCTCTCTCTTTCCCCCTTTCTCCAGTCGACTGATGAGCATGAGACCGAGACAGGGATGAAATCAAAGGAAGCAAGGAAGTACATCTTCAGCTGTTTGGATGACATAGTGCACGTAAGTCTTGTTCCACAGGATGTGCACACCTTCAGCTGTTCCAACTAGAACTCAGGAAGCTCATGGTCAGGTGGTTAGATGATATAGAGCAGTAGGTCTGAGAGAGAGGAAGTTCACCTTCAGCTGTTTGACTGAATAAGCTAGAGCATGTACGTACACCTCATTGCTGGAAAAAACCCATTCTCACATCTCTAGTCATATGCTAAGTGACATGCTAAGGTTCAGCACCGAACACTTAGTTTGAAAGTCAAGCCTTGGGTGAAACCACAGCTGGAAATTCCCTTACAATGAGATCATGGGTTGGAAATGTCCCTGCTGATGTTTTTACGAGATGGGGTGATGTAGAATGCTGTAGATATGTAGAGACGGGGGTGATGTAGAATGCTGTAGATATGTAGAGAGGGTGATGTAGAATGCTGTAGATATGTAGAGACGGGGGTGATGTAGATGCTGTGAATATGAAGAGACATGGGGGTGATGTAGAATGCTGTAGATATGTAGAGACGGGGGGTGATGTAGATATGTAGAGACGGGGTGATGTAGAATGCTGTAGATATGTAGAGACGGGGTTGATGTAGAATGCTGTAGATATGTAGAGACGGGGGTGATGTAGATATGTAGAGACGGGGGTGATGTAGAATGAGACGGGGTGATGAATGGTTTTTAGATAGAGACGGGGTGATGTAGAAGCTGTAGATATGTAGAGACGGGGGTGATGTTAATGAATGCGTGTATGATATGTAAGACTGGGGGTGATGTAGATAGCGTGTAGAATTGAGAGACAGGGTGTGTAGAATGCTGTAGATTGTGAGACTTGTAATATGTAGACGGGGTGATGTAGAGATGCTGTAGATGAGAGATCAGGGGGTGATGAATCTAGATAGTAGAGACAGGGGAATGGAAGACGGGGTGATGTAGAATGTTATGTTAGAATGAGACAGGGGGTGAAACTGTAGATTTGTGAGACGGGGTATAGTAGAACAGGGGGTGATGTAGAATCGTAGACTAGGAGTGGGTATGTAGAATGCTGTAGATATGATAGAGACGGAGGGGTAGATCTGTAGAGATGAGAGAGGGGTGATGTAATATGTAGAACGGGGTGTATTTGATTGTAGAGACGGGGGTGATGTAGATCTGTGATATGAGAGAGGGGTGATGTAGAATGCTGTAGATATGAAGAGACGGGGTGATGTACATGCTGTAGAGAGGGGTGGGTAGAGGAGCATGGGGTTGATGTTAGATATGTAGAGACGGGTGATGTGATCTGTAGATATGTAGACAGGGGGTGATGATTTAGATTCTGTAGAGACAGGGGTTGTAGAATGCATGTAGATATGGTAGAGACAGGGTGTGTGATTGTAGATATGTAGAGAGGGGTGTTAAATGCTGTAGATATGTAGAGACGGGGGTGATGTAGAATGCTGTGATATGTGTAGAGACGGGGGTGATGTAGTGTAGATTGTAGAGACAGGGGAGTAAAATTTGTAGAATATGTAGATATGACGGGGTGATGTAGTAGAAGAGACGGGTGTGTGATGGTAGATATGAGAGACGGGGTGATGTAGAATGCTGTAGATATGTAGAGACAGGGGTGGGGTTATGTAGAGGTTGTAGATATATGTAGAGACAGGGGTGATTGTAGAATGGCGTTGTGTAGATATGTAGAGACGGGGGTGTAGATATGTAGACATATTAGACTGTAGATATGAAGACGGGGTGGATGTAGATGTGAGATAGGGGGTAAGATGTTGAGAAATGCTGTTAGATATGTAGAGACATGGGGGGGTGATGTAGAATGCTGTAGATATGTAGAGCTGGGGTGATGTAGAATGCTGTAGATATGTAGAGACAGGGGTGATGTAGATCTGTAAGTAGGAGGGGGGGTGTAGATTGAAAACGGGACTGATGTAGAATCTGAATTAGACGGGGATGTAGATATGAAGAGAAGGGGATGATGTAGATATGAATGAGACGGGGGATGATGTAGAATGTGTAGATATGTAGAGATAACGGGGTGATGTAGAATTGCTGTTTAGATATGAAGACGGGGGTATGTAGAATGCTGTAGATATGTAGAGACATGGGGGGTGATGTAGATATGTAGAGAGAGGGGTGATGTAGAATGCTGTAGATATGTAGAGACAGGGGGGTGATGTAGAATGCTGTAGATATGTAGAGACATGGGGGGTGATGTAGATATGAAGAGACGGGGGATGATGTAGATGTGAAGAGACAGGGGGGATGAAATGTGTAGATATGAGAGACAGGGGGGATGATGTAGATATGAAGAGACAGGGGGATGAATGTGTAGATATGTAGAGATGACAGGGGGATGATGTAGATATGAAGAGACAGGGGGATGATGTAGATATGAAGAGACAGGGGGATGATGTAGATATGAAGAGACGGGGGGTGATGTAGATATGAAGACGGGGGGTATGAGATATGAAGAGACAGGGGGATGATGTAGATATGAAGAGACAGGGGGATGATGTAGATATGAAGAGACGGGGGGATGATGTAGATATGAAGAGACAGGGGGGATGATGTAGATATGAAGAGACAGGGGGGTGATGTAGATATGAAGAGACGGGGGATGATGTAGATATGAAGAGACGGGGGATGATGTAGATATGAAGAGACGGGGGATGATGTAGATATGAAGAGACGGGGGGATGATGTAGATATGAAGAGACGGGGGTGATGTAGATATGAAGAGACGGGGGTGATGTAGATATGAAGAACGGGGGGTGATGTAGATATGAAGAGACGGGGGGGGTTTGAGTTGTAGATATGAAGAGACGGGGGAGGTGATGTAGATATGAAGAGACGGGGGATGATGTAGATATGAAGAGACAGGGGGATGATGTAGATATGAAGAGACGGGGGATGATGTAGATATGAAGAGACGGGGGATGATGTAGATATGAAGAGACGGGGGGATGATGTAGATATGAAGAGACGGGGGGTGATGTTAGATATGAAGAGACGGGGGGATGATGTAGATATGAAGACGGGGGGATGATGTAGATGAAGAGACGGGGGTGATGTAGATATGAGAGACGGGGGATGATGTAGATATGAAGAGACGGGGGATGATGTAGATATGAAGAGACGGGGGGATGATGTAGATATGAAGAGACGGGGGATGATGTAGATATAGAGACGGGGAGGATAGAAGGACGGGGGTGTTAGATATGAAGACGGGGGGATGATGTAGATATGAGAGACGGGGGGTGATGTAGATATGAAGAGACAGGGGGATGATGTAGATATGAAGAGACGGGGGGATGATGTAGATATGAAGAGACGGGGGATGATGTAGATATGAAGAGACGGGGGATGATGTAGATATGAAGAGACGGGGGATGATTAGATATGAAGAGACAGGGGATGATGTAGATATGAAGAGACAGGGGGGATGTTTGTAGATATGAATGAGAAGGGGGGATGATGTAGATATGAAGAACGGGGGGATGATGTAGATATGAAGAGACGGGGGATGATGTGAATATGAAGAGACAGGGGGATGATGTAGATATGAAGAACGGGGGTGATGTAGATATGAAGAGACAGGGGTGATGTAGATAGGACGGTGAGTAGATATGAGAGACAGGGGGATGATGTAGATATGAAGAGACGGGGTGATATGTAGATATGAAGAGACGGGGGGATGATGTAGATATGAAGAGACGGGGGGATGATGTAGATATGAGAACGGGGGATGATGTAGATATGAAGAGACAGGGGGGATGATGTAGATATGAAGAGACGGGGGATGATGTAGATATGAAGAGACGGGGGGTGATTAGATATGAAGAGACGGGGGATGATGTAGATATGAAGAGACAGGGGGATGATGTAGATATGAAGAGACGGGGGGTGATGTAATATGAAGAGACGGTGGGATGATGTAGATATGAAGAGACAGGGGGATGATGTAGATATGAAGAGACAGGGGGATGATGTAGATATGAAGAGACGGGGGATGATGTAGATATGAAGAGACAGGGGGATGATGTAATATGAGAGAAGAGGGGGGTGATGTAGATATTGAAAGAGACAGGGGGATGATGTAGATATGAGAGACGGGGGGGATGATGGAGATAGAAGAGACGGGGGGGGATGATGTAGGATATGAAGAGACGGGGGGGGTGATGTAGATAGTGAAGAGACGGGGGGTGTGGGGTGAGTGTAGATATGAAGAGACGGGGGGATGGGGGGGGGTGATGTAGATATGAAGAGACGGGGGAGGATGTAGATATGAAGAGACGGGGATGAGTAATATGAAGGACGGGGATGATGTAGATATGAAGAGACAGGGGGATGATGTAGAATGCAGAGGACAGGGGGGTGATGTAGATAGAAGAGACGGGGGCGATGATGTAAATATGAAGACGGGGGGGATGATGTAGATATGAAGAGACGGGGGGGAGGGATGATGTAGATATGAAGAGACGGGGGGTGATGTAGATATGGAAAATGCCTCATCGTTCTCAAGTTACTCTTATCACAATGGTTGGTTTGATGTTTTTACTTTTGATAAACTTATGCAAAATGTCTGGTATTTTTAACATTGGAAACAGGTCTAACGATTAATCCAGTTTAGCATAGTGACTGTTTATACTGTCTATCCCCTTAACCAAGTCTCCCTTGACTTGTAAAGTGGATTTAACATCTCTTTAAGACTTTACAAATTAAAATGGGTAAAACTCATTACATTAAGAGGAATGAAAAGTTGTAACACTTGACCCGGTCTCTCCTCTTGATTTGTAAAGCCGATTTAAAACCTCCCTGAGATTCTCCAGATCAAATAGACACAAACGTTGGGAAAGATGACAGATAGGATCAGTTCTCCTGAGCACTGACCTGCCTCTCTCTCCCAGGTGAACTTGGTGATGAATCTGGAAGGTAGCGACCTGTTGGCAGAGAAGGTGGACCGGAGAGAGTTTGTAGGCCTGCTGAAGAGGATGTTGTTGATCGATGCGGAGAAGAGGATCGCCCCTGCTGAGGCTCTCAGCCACTCCTTTATGACCATGCAACACCTGCTCGACTTCCCCCATAGCAACCAGTGAGTTTTCCCCACTGGCTTTCATACGGGTTGTCCTTTTCGTAAAGAAGAGACATGATGAAACATTTAGTTATTTGTAAAAGGGGGGACAAGCATAAATAATAGCTGGGGCCTGCTGGACTGTAATGAAAATAACTCCAACCTCCTCCTTTCCTCTCTTCATCACAGTGTCAAATCATGTTTCCACATCATGGACGTAACCCGGTCTCGTCCCGGTCCTTACGACACGCTCAGCCGGAACAAGGCCCCCTTCATCAGACCGGTGACCACGACCACCACCACGGTTAATCTGACCGGGCCCTTCAGCAAGATGGCCGCCATCCACAATCAAGTAAGCAGCTCCACCACATCAACACAGTAGCTGTCACCTGGAGGGAGGCATTTCTATATGTTGGGCTATACATCTGTATGAATAGACGGCTATATGACAATGTACCACTGCTATAGCTGTTAGACTATATTAGATTTGAATGGAGACAGTTTTATCAGACAAGGTTTTCCATTTGAGAAACAGCTAGACCAAGGCGTGTTGTTTTCCCATGACCTAGACCTCCAGGTGGTCAGAGTGGATGACATGGAGCTTTATTGGTCCCCTTCTTCCTCACGTGGGACTGTTGCCGTTCACCTTGTTTGCATCGTTCCCTGTTACGCTGATGCTCCGTTGTCGTGGCAACACCGTGACGTCATGAAGGCGACGTCATGGCAACAGCGCGGGTGTGTCGTGTTGCTGTGGAGAGAGGTGGTTAACGATGGATCCGTCTGATCCTATTATACACAAATGGGCTCAACTGGCCTCACTGTCATGTTTTTCACTTTGTTATTCTAAATCCCAACGAGCTATTTCTGGAAATACAAGTCATTCATTGTCAATACACTAGAAGTCAATTTGAGTTTTAGTACAATGTGAATGTGATAGCGTCTGAACTTCATATACCACAAGCACAAATTTAAGCCCAATTGAATCAAGTTGATGTATCAACACACCATCCATAATTCTAGTACATTTGTGTTCAGAATTTACCCTTGGGGGAATAACAGAATGGGTGGTCACAAGTGAAGCCTTGCATGCGTAAAACGCATCTGCTCTGATTGGGTGTTTACATGGAGGTTAACTTCTCCTTCCAATTCCTTCCAGTTACAGGAAGTATTTGGTGGAAAAATGTACCAGATCTCCCAGTATTAGCCTCTCAAAGTGTGCTTTGTGTTGACTGTCATGTGTATGGAGGGCCAGGCCCGGTTCTATGTGTGGACTTTTTTATTGGAATCTGACCAGACATTTGATCACGTTGGACTCAGCCCAGGCCTAATTCCCTGTATTCAATATTGTAGGCCAGGCACCTCTGAACCACAGGCACAGGCTTCTGCTCTGTTCTTTGTTTATTCATAAAGCGTCCCAGAGTAGGACTGCTGATCTAGGATCAGTTTTGCCTTTTAAAACATAATTAATAAGATTATATGGACAGATCCTAAATCAGCACTCTTACTCTGAGATGCTTGGTGCATACGGCCCCTGCTGTTTGGCTCAGACTCCAGAAAGGCAGGTCGCCATCTACTGGGGATGTGAGGGTAATGCGGATTAAATGTTGGAATTTGTCACAAGACTTACAGTAGGAGAGGTAATGTTTTTTTGTTTTTTTTCTTGTCTCAGAAACACACCTTGAGGCCACAATTCCCCTTCTATGTTGTGCTGATGAAATCCCTGTTGATAGACATTCTCTGTTTGTGTTGTTCTAACCCATTAGCTTCTGTAGTAGATGTCAGGGTGCTCATGTCTCTGTGTTTATCTTCAGGCTTTAGCCCCCTCTGCCCCCTCAGTGATGCACCCTGGGATACCGCTCCAAACAGGAAATGGCCAGTTTGGCTGCAGCGACTCATTTCAACAAGCGCTCATCCTGTGCCCCCCAACGATGCAGGGTATGACTTCTTAATCTTTCTCTCTTTCTCCCCCCCCTCCTCTCTCCTCCTCTCTCTTTCTCCCCCCCTCCTCTCTCCTCTCTCTTTCTTCCCTCCTTTCCATCCACCTCTCTGTAGCAAAATCTACTGACTTGGACTTACTGTGGAACACATATTTCCCTTTTCGGTCCTCCAGGAATCCCCACCAACACGGCCAAGCCACAGGGCTACTCCGTACGCATGGAGACTGCTGTGCCTCTGGTCACCCAAGCCCCCTCCATCCAGCCCCTACAGATCAGACCTGGGCTCATCACACAGGTAACAGAGGGAGAGAGAAGAGAGGAGGAGGGGGGGAGCGAGCGAGAGAGAGAAAGTGCCTAGTATTCAGGCTAGCTGTGATTGAGTGATTCAGACCGACAGAGAAACTGGAAATGATGGAGAATCAGCAAGATACAGCCTGGATGCATTTGTGCTGGGGATGTTTTGAACAAAATGAATATGTTTAGATAGCAATAGAAACCATGGAAACTAGGTCACTCACCCACTGTCTGTTGTTCCTCTCCCCAGCACCAGACCTGGTCTAACCGCCCCCAGCAGATCCTGGTGCCCGCCTGGCAACAGGTGACCCCAATGGCGCCCCCACCAGTCACCATGGCGTCCGACACTGTGGCAGGCCCACAGAGGCTGGGAGAATGGGGGTGAGTGCTATCTGTCAGCTTTTGACTGTCTGTGCTCTTTAGAGACTGTCAGTGACTAATCCATTTTTTACCCATAGGGAGCCAATAGGGAAGCTCCAAATGATTATTTTTTAAACTGCATTGTCTGTCAGTTTTGTTGCTATGCTCTCCCCTTGACAAAAGACTTCTCTGAGAATATGGGACACAGTGTGATGGCTGTCTATCATACTGATGGAGAATGAGTCACATGCCTCTCCTTTGAAGCGGGCGAGTGAGATCACAGCCAGTTTAGTCTCTAATATAGCTAATGACCTTTGGCTCGTTACCCCCTGTTTTGTCATTTGCAGGAAAGTGCATCCCCATGGCAACCATTACAGCTCTATGATACCCCACCACCATCAGCCACTCTTAACCAATCAGATGACCATGTCTGCACACCAGCCAATCAGCATAGGCATCGCACACGTGGTGTGGCCACAGCCCTCTGCTAACAAGAGAAACAAACCCTGCTTCAACAGGTAAACATACACTCGCACACACAAACACACACACACACACACACAATCTGATTATAAAATCTCCTTCCTGTTATATCTTTCTTCCTAGAGGCAACAATTTTGCCTACAACACCAACATCCAAAACTCAGCATGCCAGTCCCCAAAGATGGCCGACACCACGAGGAATGTCCCGGAGGAGATATGCCCGGAGGTGGGGCGAGCTGTACGGCCGGAGCCTGAACCGGAGCAGGGGGAGGAGCCTAGCTGCTTTAAGGCGGGTTCAGACTCTGAGGAGCGGTCTGTCTCTTATAAGCAGCGGCAGGCCATGGTGATGTCTGATCTGGCCAGCCCCACCGTCAGTGTCATTAGTATCAGCAGTGATGAGGAAGAGGAGGAGGAGGAAGAGAGAACACGGAGACATTCACTGGGGGAGTAAGTAACTACCTCAAGCAACTACAGTCCACTCAAAATCAGTCTTTTTAAAATATCAAAGTCATTATCATCTCAGCATCTGTATGTAACTAAACCAAGCCTCTCTCTTGCTTTCTCTTTCTCTCTCTCTCTCTCTCTCCCGCCCCCCAGGTGTAAGGGCAGTGCTGAATGTGAGGCGTGTCAGAGCACAGTGAATATGGAGAGAGTGTGTTCCCTCAGCAGTCCAGACAGCACTCTCAGCACCAGCTCCTCTGCCTCAGCCCAGTCCAGCACCTCGCCCTGCAAACGCCCCAACAGGTATGACCCAATGACAACAGCCACACACACACACACACACACACATATGTTCGGCCTTAACCTAAATGTTGCACCTACACCTGTCATACAGTCTGATTGCTCTGGCCTGTTACAGTATAGAATGTATACTCCTCTCTGTGTGTGATTGCTCTGGTCTGTTACAGTATAGAATGTATACTCCTCTCTTAGTGTGATTGCTCTGGTCTGTTACAGTATAGAATATATACTCCTCTCTGAGTGTGATTGCTCTGGTCTGTTACAGTATAGTATGTATACTCCTCTCTGAGTGTGATTGCTCTGGTCTGTTACAGTATGTCAGATGAGGAGCAGGAGAGCGGTTGTGACACGGTGGACGGCTCGCCCTCCTCCGACTCCTCTGGCCCTAGCCATAGCCCCTACATTGCCGACGGCAACCAGAACCGTGGGCCCCGTGTGGCGTGCGTCGCCCCAGTAACGGAGCCCAGAAAGCCGGCGGTGCGCACAATGGTGGTGCCGCCCATGAGGATGCAGAATAATAACCCCCACATCAAGGAGACGCTAGGCAACACCAGTAAGCATCTAACACACACACACACACAGACACACACACACACACACACGGACACACACACAGACACACACACACAGAGACACACACAGACACACACCGGACACCTGATTCACCCACAGCAAACAGACACCCGGCTGATTCACCCCAGACATACACTTGACACACACCTGGTTCACACAGCCCTATGGTTGAACAAACAGGTTCAGTAGTCATGAACAGGTGGCCACAGTTCTCTCATCAAAGGTAACCACAACAGACACACCTAGCCCAGGGCGGGCAGGGCAACGGATAACACTGGAAACTGGAACCCAGTGACACAGCATTAGCCTTAATCTCAGTCAGGATTGTCAGTGATCAGACACGTAGGCTAACGGGGTCATAGCGGGTCAGATACCCCATCACCACGGCTGATGATGTCTGCTCCACAGGTCACATGGTGTCGGATTACTCCTCGTTTATAGGGCACAGAGGTACTCACAGGTGATTATGACTGCAGCCCTGACCTCTCAGCCTGACCTCTCAACCCTGACCTCTCAGCCCTGACCTCTCAGCTCTGACCTCTCAGCCCTGACCTCTCAGCCCTGACCTCTCAGCCCTGACCTCTCAAGCTCTCAGCCCTGACCTCTCAGCCCTGACCTCTCAGCCCTGACCTCTCAGCCCTGACCTCTCAGCCCTGACCTCTCAGCCCTGACCTCTCAGCCCTGACCTCTCAGCCCTGACCTCTCAGCCCTGACCTCTCAGCCCTGACCTCTCAGCCCTGACCTCTCAGCCCTGACCTCTCAGCTCTGACCTCTCAGCTCTGACCTCTTGGCTTCGGCCTCTGGAATGGACGTGTGTTTTTCTGTAGATCTAGTCTGGTTCCTGCTGGCTTTCGGTTGAGAGCCCTTTCTTTGAATCTATCCTTTATTCTACCTGTGTGGATCTGGAGCTTATGAAGCTACATAGGACAGGCGTAACATCCCCTGGAACGCTTTACAACCTGACTTAGGCTTTCATAGAGATGGATGACAACCAGACACGCACACATGCGCCACATTGTGTTCGCTGGCTGTCATGAACACTTAGATGTATATGAATGCGTTCGTGGGGTGTTACTGAGGGGTTATGTATGTCGTATGTAGGCTTCATAACAGCTGTGGTCTTCTCCCTCTGTTCCTGGGGTTGGGCTTTTTAAGGTCCCTGTTTATAGGTCATTTATATCCTGAGTGAAAATCACACTGTCTCCTATCGCCTTTCATGTCCGAGCCAGGCCCCCCCCCTCCCCCTCCCATAGCTGACATTCAGAAACACTCCCCAGCTAAACCCCACAGAAAATGCCACAACTTGCTATTCTAGTGCCCCTAGGGGGATATTAATAGCCAATGGTATGACCCCCACTATGAATACGAACCAGCTTACTTACCGATTTGGCTTCCATCCCTTCACCAGATCCCAGCCCAGATCAGTTCTAGTCTATTTATAAACATCCAAATTATGCTTGGGGAACAGATGGCACTTTTTAAAGAGCTGTGTTTGGTCAAACCCAGTGTAAGTCAGTGATGAGCATGCACAATCCCTACTGCCACACTGGTTGATGGATACTGTTGTCACTGGGATGAATCTACAGTCAGGGTTTAACTCCACTGTCAATCTCCTCTGTGGGTTGTTGCTGCTACCCGTCATGATGTGGTGTTGACGTCGGTGTCTGTGTGTAAACTCATCCCTCTCTTTCATCTTCCTCTCCACCTCCCCTTTCTCTCTCTCTCTCTCTCTCTGTCTCTCTCTCTGTCTCTCCCCCCCCCCCCCTTCCCTCCCTCCAGTCTTAGAGTCTTCTTTCCAGTTCAAAGGGCGAGGTATCCCCGGGCGTCAACCGCACCACTCCATCCCCCTCCTCAACCGGCCACAGAAGATCACTGCATTCCAGCCCCAGCAACAGCAGCCCATGGCCTTTGGACAGGTCAACACACGCACGCACACACACACACCCACAGACAGACAGATGTAATATGTGTATGATACCTAACAATCCCTCTTTCTCTCTATTTCCAGCTCCAGCATTACGGCTCCTGCCACCAGGAATGGAACAGAAACTACGCCCACCGGCGCCCGCAGGCCTACATCCCCCCCACTATGCATGGGCACACCTTTACCCTACCCCACGGCAGCCCCAACCACACTACAGGCCCCCACCACCACTCCCACCTGGGAGGTCACCCGCACCCGCACGGCCAGCCTACCCTTCTGTCCTACCCCCCCCCTGGGCCCCTGGTCACAGCAGCCCCTGTGGCCCACATCCTGGCCTCCCCTGGGGCCTCGCGGCCCGTCCTGCAGCCCGCCTACAGCATCTCTCACCCAGGCGGTATCGTCCACCAGGTCACTGTGGGCATCAACCCCCGGCTGCTGCCCTCACCCACCATCCACCCCCAGGGCCAGTTCAAGGCCCTCTTCCCCCCGCACTCCTACATCGCCTCACCTGCCTACGCCAGCTTCCCCCTCAGCCCCACCAAACTCAACCAGTACCCCTACATCTGACAGGGTCCCGGCATGGCCCGCCCCCCAGATACACCTCGCACCACCCGGGGGCCAAGCGAGCAGGAGGAGGGGCCTTCTTCTCGGAATACACAACAAACAACCACAACAACATGGTTTTCATGTCCAGAGCCATGGCACAACCACAGAGAAAGCAAGCTATTTTTATTAATCATGTAGACTTGGGTGCAATTGAACTATGAGCTATAAAAAAATAAAATAAAAGAGTTTGGGTGGAATGGAGGATGAGGGGAGGGGGGAAAGGAAGGACGGATGGATGGATGGAATGAATGAATGAATGTAAGTAGATAAGGAAGTCACTCTCAATGTGTTTTGCACATTTGATATACCTTCACATTAGATCTTCTACGAATACTCCTCAAAAAACAGGTTAATCGGGGTGGTGTTGCTAGGTCAGACTTGGCACCCCCTTATCCCAGCTATTTTTCTATATTGCCTTCTGAACGTGTGCAAGACACATCCACATTTGTAAAGCCATCCCAGTCTCTAGCTCAGTAGGCCGACAGATGCACATGTTGTCCACGGTGTGTGTTGTACCGCGTTTGAAGTATTTGTACCTTTTCTCAGTGTCTTTGGTGTTTAAAAATGTCGAGTCACTTAACCGATTTTAAAGTAGGGTTGTTGCTCCTCACGCTGCATGTGTTCTTGCATGAGCAGATCAAAATGTAAACAGGAAGATGTGTTAGACATGGCGCTTGTTGTTGGTGTCACGAGACTCGCTGCATCGTATACTTGTCCCCAGCCATATAGTGCCTTATATATTTGAGGTGGTTAATGTTACTACTTATATATGAATATATTCATCAATATGTTAATGTACTGGACTGCAGCACTTGAAATTCCAATCAGTCGATGCATCCTATGTGTGAGTGGATATATATTCACACGAGTATATATCCACGCATAGCCTGCATGGACGTGATGTATCGCGGAAAGCGGTGCTTATATTTTGGATTCAGTGTATATTTCAGTGTGTAGTGAGTTACGTTTTTGTTCCTTAAAGAAGGACGGCATGCGTTGCTGTAGCAACTGTTCGCTGGTCCGTTTTGTTCTCCCCCTCCCCCTGAATGAACTAGTGTACAAAGAGCAAGCATTGAATATTTGCTTAATATTTCATAATCCATTTCTATTTAGTGAAACTCTTACTACTAACAGTATTTGTACTGTTCGATGAAACTGCAATACAATCTCTAAATAGATGTTGATTTTTATTTTTTGTCTTTTGTATTTAAAAAACAATGTGTTTGTGTTTGAGTGGGTTTTTCTTTCTTTCTTCTAGCTGTTACAGGTGTGGTGGGCATGGGCTTTGACTAGGTGAGGACAAAATGCAAATTAATTAATGGTATGGATTCTTCTAAGCCTGAGCAGACCATGCAGTATTTGATATACACACACACATATATGGATATATATTATAGAGCTAGTCTACTTAGTGCAGACGCTTAATAAGGTGTGAGTTTTTCACGTGCAATTCTCTCATTTATGCATGTGACAAAGTTAACTTTTTTCCCTTTACATTATCATTTGTTTAAGGCTTATTGGTGTCGACTGCTTATTTTATACATTCCGTCAGGGAGAATATATATATATATATATATATATATGCTGTGTGCATTTTTCCGTTTGTTTTTGCTAGTTATGTGCGTTTTTCGTCTTTTCAAATGAAGTTGCTTGTGCAGCACCAAAGACTGTAATTCATTTCCTGAGCAAGGTAGCTAGATATATTCTGTTTTTACACAATAGACCTCTAGTATACTGTAGTCGTAGAGCTGGGGTTACATTTCAAAAAATAGTATTTAAAAAAAAAAAAAAAAATGGCTGAGGTTATGTTTAGCTTTTTCCTGTGATTTTAATAAGCCGTATCATTTTTCTTGAATGTATCATAGATAAGCTGCTATATGATGCCACTTCAACAGCTGTGAAATTAGGTGATTTTCTCTTAGTTCAAAACTAGCGTTCCTATTTTTGTATAGGTCCCTAATTATCTGAAATAGAAGTGGTTTTGATTTGAGTGTTTTTTTTTTTTTTTTTGCATTCATGTTTGAAGTGTCATTGTAACTACTGTATTACTGATGATGGATGCTAGTTGCATTCGTTCTGTTTTTGGGTGGGTGTGTTTTTGCATCAGTATTTTATCCTTATTAACCTTTTCGGGCTCGTCACTGCATATAAATGGATGTATCAATGTAATTTAATTTTTTGTATGTTTTCATATTGGCGTTTTGTAAACATGTAAAGCTATAGCTTGCAGGATTTATGTAAGGTTTTTCATTACGGTAGTAATTTCAGTATACAGTTATAATAACGTATGTTATCTATGGCAGGAGCACTGTGCGATAGCAGCATACTCAATGGAATGCTTATGTAACATGTAATCCCCGAGTCTCACACCACTAACAACTTGTCAGTAGTCTGGTGGTAAAGGGTTGGAGCATTGACTCCTCATGGCCCTGTGGGGAATGAAACAGAAAATATGACTGACATGAATTATGCCCAAGGTGTTCCCATTCAATATTTTATCACTTTAAATTATTATTTTCCTTTTACAATATGGATTTTACTCAAACCCTTTTTATCTGTTCAATATTGTGACTGTCCTTGACGTGACAGTGGTTCCCCTTTACATTGGTTACATAATTGGAATAATCTGCCTTCTGTTTGTTTTGGAGATTTCTCCATTGTATCGCTCTACCCTTTAGAAGTGTCTCATAAGAGTGGTGTTCATCAATGGAAATCCCTGCCCAGTGTTATGTTCCTTACTGATGTTCAGACAGTGTGAGCAGCACTGTGTTTGTGCCTTGAGAATCAGAGGGTCAGAGAAATGGGGACTGTCCCTTAGACAGTAACAGTACCCCTCCTCTCCTCTACCTGCTCCGAGTTGAAGGGGGAGGAGGGGTTGAGGATCTAACATAAATCCATCTTGCAGAATTAAGTTAGTAATGGCCACTTGACCAAAAATCACCTATAGAAAACGGAACGTTTCACAACCGGACTGTCATTCAACCTGTCATAACAGGGATAAAAAAAATATACTTGTTTGATAAGCTTTGTCATGACAGTAGAGTAGAGGGCATAGGTGTTTAATAGATATAGGCCACCAAAGTCTCACACAAACACACACACACACACACACACTGAGAGTCTCTTTGAGTGACGTGCCGATTTAACAGTCCTCTCGATACAGTCACTCTTGTTGAACAGCAAATGCAATACTTTAACGTTATGGTCGTTGTACCACCAAGTGTTCTTAGATCTCTCCATGCCAACTCCGATACTGTGCATATACACCACCGAGTCAGCTTCACTAGTCTGTGGGGAAATACTACTGACTCCCAGTCAGTCCTTTTTCCCATAGTCAATAAACCAAACACCTTGCAACCATGACAGTCAGGATCAGTGGATAACAGATTGTGGACTCATTGTAGGACTGAGTAGTTAAGTATAACTCTGAACTCAGTTCAGAGGACTTCTAGACATTAACTACAAGACTGTTGCTGTTCGCAAAGGGGTGATTGACCGTACAGAGTCTGTTAATATAAGATGTTAGAGAATTGCTCTGGAAGAAACATTTTGTTTTCCTTGTGTTAAGGAGCTCTCTGGAGATGATTGTGGCGTCACTTGAAATTCATTACTCTTTAGGAGCATAACGTATTCCACATTTCAACACCAAAATATTGCCGGACAGGTGTTTTATCAACAATGTTTTCAGTTTCATGCTTTTGTTATTACATTTTATTTAGGTAAAAAGCTGAAATGACAACAAGGCATGAACTTGGCAGACCTCCTACAGTGCTTGATATGTGTTCTCCAGTGATATAAGCATGTGAAATGTAACTTTATTCCTGTGTAATGGTATTCACCAGCAATGCGCCTGCACAAACTCTCCCACACTTAAAAACAAAGATGGATACAAAGTATGAGAGATCCTAGACTGTTTTTATTTCTCCAGTTATAACTCCGTATGACAATGACTGGACACATGAATGAACAGTTTTCAGAGAACTCATACGACATTTTGAGATGAAACTTAACAACAAGAGAAAACATAGCAGTTTAAATTAGCAGTATGATTAATTTATGATTTTAAAGAATCCTCTTATCTGGTGTGAAGATGTTGATTCAGGGTCTATGTGTTAGTCTAATGTGATACTGTGTTACTCTTCAATGCTTACTATTTGGTTTGATTAGTTTTGATCGGTTCTCAACTTGTATTCTCCTTTTTGGGCGTTCTGGTCGACTGTGTCCGTTCAAAGTAAAATTCACGCAGCAACTTATAGAATCATCTGGTTAGATCACTCATCGAAATAATAGATTTGATTATTAAAATCTGAACTGTTACTGTTTTTAATACTTGTAGATTTTTTGTGGCTTTGTTTTTATCATTTTTGTTTCAGTTTTGCTTTTGTTGGTTTTATGCCACACTAGTTTGCCATGTAGCAATTGCACTGTGCAATATTTACAGTATGAGGAGGACTGGGAAAACTAATTCTCTGGATGTGATGTCTCTTAACAGTTTGATAGTGTTTCCTCTAGTTCTCAGTGATTTAGGTGTGACCAAGCCTTCGCTACTTAGTCACATTAAGCGGGTTTTCCAGGTGACTCTTTTGGTGAGTGTCAAAATAAGACTTTATGGTGTATTATTGTCAAGATTCACTTTGAATAAAAACAAAAATCTATTGCTGCAAATCCCCTTTGGCGCGGTGTGATTTCTTTCTATCTTGTCTTACTCGTCTTTTATGGGATTGATGAAAGGTTTCCTTTGAATTACTTGACTAATTCCTCTCAGCTCCTAGCGGAACAAACGGCCTTAGCGGTGCATCTCCAGCGGACTCTATTCTGGGTGGTTTTCTTGACTTCATTCCAGGTGGTTCCTCCCTTTTTGAATCTCCTCACATTGGTCCTTCTCTGTGTCTTACATCTAAAAGAGAAGAGGACTGTACAATCATGTGAGTCCATACCACCTCTCTAATCTCTGACAGATG